CCATAAAATTTTTGCATTTAAGATTAAAGAAACCTTTGTGTCTGTCAATATGCCTTATCCAGAACTCCTTAAGTGGAAATATTTTAGTTTCACCTGGTAAAATCTTCTTAAAGGAAACTTTCACTGATTATTAATCGATTAATCATAAAAATATTTGACAAATTAATCGATTTGCAAAATAAACGGTAGTTGCAGCCCTACTTCTTTTGCTAGAATGTTCCAAAACTGCACTTCCTGAATGGCCTACACTCATTTCTGGCTGCTGCTCCTTTCTTCTGTAGGGTGTATGATGGAAAAGGTTGCCTTAAATCAAACACATCAACAAACTACTGATGGTTCATTTATCTCTAACAACTTTAACTTATAAGCAGTTATGACTGGAAAAGGCAAAAGCAACCAGAAACTGATTTATGATAAAACTATTTATGATAAGTTAATAACTTATAACAAACAAACTTAAAAGTAGAAGAAATAAAGGCCTCAACTTAAAAACATTTTTCTAACAGTGGCTTCATGTAGCTCATACTTACTATTCTGGGAATCTCTTACAGGTGTGCAGCTTCCAGCACTGCTGTCAGGTAGCACCTCCTCTTCATGACCGTCAGCGTTATCCACTACCACAGAATTAGACTTGTTGTCACTTTTGCTGTGAGGCGGCGCTGCATCTTTGTCTGCCACGTTCTCGCTTTTATTCTCGCTCTCATTGGCAGCTTCAACACTCAGAGTTGAGCCTGAAGGGAGTGGGTTCGTCTGTTGAGTCCTCTGAGCAGGAAAGGTGTTTTGTTGATCACTGGCAGGAGCGAGTCTCAGTATTTTTTCCCTCAGCAGCCCCACCCTCCGAGGTTTTTCGTTCACATCATTATCCACCAAGTCTGAAGAAAGATGCTCAGCCCCGTCAGCGATGTCATCTGACCTCTCTTGCAAAATACCACTGCTAACAGCCTCCTCAGTAGGCTTCACCTTCCTGTCTTTGGCTTTACAGCTGATAGAGGAAAAGGCTCTTTGAGATTTACCTTTGGGGGATTTCACCTTTTCACCCATTTGATCCTCCTGTCCATTTATCTGCCTTTTCTTCTGTGTCCTTTTCTTTTTCTTGGAGTGATCTGTTTCAGAGCTAGTGAATTTATGTTTGGATAAGGTGAAATCAAACATATTTTCCAGGTTCTCCAATCCATTTTTTAACAAGTAAGCATGAAGGGATACTTTAGAACGGAATCTCTGTCCACTGGGACTGAAAAAACAAAACAAAACTATTGATTAGACATTTGACTATATAAAAGTGCAAATCACTAAATTAAACTTTAACTGAAAACGTATTTAATATCAGTTATTCAAATTTTAAAAGAGGATCACATGTATAGATTAATTACACTTAGTGATTTCATGTTTATTTTTTCTTAATATTGAAAATCAATGCTTACAGCAATGAAAACCCAAATTGTTATTTATTCAAATATTTTATTCTTAAATAAGATTCTAAATACTTGTCTATAATAAAAAATTAAAGGTTTGTAAAATACAAGATGAATAAAAAGAAAGTTGTGAAAGTAATAAAGAAAATACATGGAAATGAATAAGCACGTGAAAGAGGTTCATGAGCGTGTGATTTCCCATTTGCCACTGTTCTCTTGAATACATCACAGCTGCATCATGAGTTTTTTTTCACAATGGCCACAGAGAGAAAAAAGGTAGATATTAACAAAACTTATTCTGCATGCAGTTCAAGAGGCGCACACTCTTCATTTGTTTGGTTTTACCATTTAAATGTATACATCTACAGAAGGGCAATATAATAATAAGTCATTGCTGTTTTATTTTCATTTCACTGTATTCTTGTTCTTCCATAGTATTTGAAGCTGATTAGAAGTAAGCACTAACAGAAGGATCTAAAAAATACTGATACAATTTTCAATATTTTCACAGTTTCACAAATAATTAAAAAAAAAAAAGTAAAAAAAGTCACCAGTTCGATTTTTAGCCATTATTTCATTGGACCTGTGCAGCTACAACACTGATAAAAAGGGATAATCTATTACAGAAATTTTTAGTTATGCCAAACAACTGTTATGGGAAGGACTATCGGCTTTACAGCTGTTGAGCTGACAGTTAATAACAAGAAGATGAGAATACTACACCCCTAAATGTAAATAACCAATGAAGCACATCCTCATTAATCAGCTGATCACCTTCACTTAAACAGCATTTATAGTTATTCATATTAACTGTATAGCTAATGGACAAGCTTTCATGGGTATGTTTTATTGTGCACATTTTCAAATCACACTTTAACACCAGTTAACTGTCCATTAGTATCCGTGGATATAACTGGGGCGGGGCTACATCTTTTAAATCGATTAATCTCTTGATTATTTTATCGATTAACAATCGGATAGCCAAAGATTCTTTAAAGAAGACTTCTCACTAAATTAAACCAAGTAAAACTCAAACAGAGACACACACCATTCATGCACACACACACACACCTAAGGAGAATTTAGAGAAGCCAATTAACCTAACAGTCATGTTTTTGGGCTGTGGGAGGAAGCCGGAGTACCTGGAGAAAACCTACGGATGCTCAAGGAAAGCGTTCAAACTCCATGCAGAAAGGCCTCAGACAGGGAATTGAACCCGAAACCTTCTTGGCGCAGTGCTACCCACTGCTCCACTGAGCAGCCCTTTATAATACAATTCTTGAAATAAATGTATAACATTTTTTCTGTTGTCTGAGATGCATTTTAAATGGTGGTTAATCCACCAAGTGTGTGAAATGAATTTAGGAATTCATTAGGAACAGGAATTAAGCAATCACCTAATCATGTACACGTCCAGCTTTCCTGCAGTCTTGCCTGTTTTCCTCTGCCTTACTTCTCTCATCCATCCATGGGGCAGCTCCTCCTGCTTTTCCTGGACTTCCATGATTTCCAGCTCATTTTCACAGAGCCTCCCGGGATGAGGATTTTTTCACATTTTCTTTGCAAGTGTCTTAAAATGAAAGCAAAAACACTTTTGCATTAAACGTAATCTATTTGCATTTTGCTATTATTGTCGTGCAACAGCAAATAATACATTTCAAAAGAAACCTCCACCCTCTTTATATAAACCAGCTGCTTGTACCAGAACATCAAATAAAAGGTAAAATCGAGCAGAACAATGTAAACCAATCTCTTCTGATGCAGACAGTGTGGAGAGGAAGCGTCTGCAGGAAGTCGTCAGCAGGTCTGAGTCTGCGCAGTGAGGGCAAACCCTGACGTCACCAAATCCCAACTGCAATAACTTGTTGATTTAAAGAAAGCCATTTGGTTTCCCACATGCTTAAAATCTGAAAATGAGGCCACATGAAAAATGGAAAGAGTCGGTTCGTGAACGGTAAGGGGGTCTACGTTTTTATTTATTTAGTTTAACCCTGCTCGATAGCTGGCAGGCAATGCTAGCTGCATAGCAACGGTGGTTGCTATGTCAACTCCAGCTAACGCCAGTTAGCATCTTAGCTAGCCGTTTATCCAAGGAAGATGATGTTTATTATAAATAATCCCTTATGGAGGCGTGTTGTTTGCCACGGCTATTATTTCAACGAGACTTCTTAAATTATGGGAACCATTCATGGCAATTTAGATGGCTTTTTGGGATTGTAAGGTTTATTTCTACGTAGCTGCGAAATGACATTTTTAAATATAATGTATCATGTGATTTCCCTAAGTTTAAATGTTTATCCAAAATGTTGATGTTGGTCTGCAAATGCTGCAGCCCCACTGGAAAACGTTTTTATTTCCAGACCATAAAAGAGATTATGACCCCTCATCTATTTTTGATGTGTTTTAAATGGCTTATAGCTTTAATCTATTTTGTTGTTATTTTAAATCTAGTCAGATGTTATTCCCTAATTACCCATTTTGGAAATTCTCTAAGTAACTGTCTCACAAAAACCACAAATTATATCTTTAAAAATGATTTTTTTCTTTTTTTTTTTTTTACATTTACCCTCATATAGATACATATTTTATTTACAATAAGAACCCAGCTTTAATTTACATTGGCATATTTCCATTAATTTCATCTTTTTTCTATAAAACTGTTTAAGAATTTCATTATAGACTTAAATTGTATCACATTTTTTTCTGCTATTTTGTTAAGTATCTTAATTATATTGAAATAAATGGGTCATTGACTTGGGCTGCATCCTGATATGAACATTCATAGTTTAAACCATTGATTCCCAAAGTTGGGGCTGTGGCCCCATATGGGGTCGGGAAATAAACAAGTTTGGGGTCCTGAATACTCAATAGAAATTAAAACTAAACAGTAAAATTGTCAGTGAACAATTTTTTTGTTTAAAGATAAAAAATCAGCTGTAAATAGACATAACTAAATACAACAGCTTTTTATTCTTTCTTGGTTTTTTTTTGTTACCGTCATACCAGAGCTTAAAAGATGTTTTAGAGATTATTTTTCAACCAGTAGTTTGTGTTTTAAGTCCATTCTACTGTTATGTGGGTCAGAAGATGACAGTTTGGGAACCTCTGGTTTAAACTCTTTGGGGGGGTTGTTTAGTAAGGATGTTTACATTGCTTCTTTGCATGCTCAACATACAGTGGCGGAAAATAAGCTCAAAACATTCTCAGGGTCTTTTAGGTGTCCTTCTTAACATTAAAATTGCAATATATGTGATAAATGGCACCTCACCACTGTTCCAGATCAACCAATCGATCTGCTAAAAATAAACTGTCAACACCGTTTTCTCTCTTGCAGTGTTTATGACCTTGCATTCAAGCCAGATGGCAGCCAAATTATTATAGCTGCAGGACAACGTGTGCTGGTAAATCTCACCTTTTATCTTTGGCTTGCAAAGGATATCTCTGCAGAATACATTATTATTACAAATTATGGCTTCTGTTTGCAGGTCTGTGATGCTAAAGATGGAACTATTATCCAGCCTTTAAAAGGACACAATGGCACAGTGTACTGTGTGGCCTATGCGAAGGATGGTACTTGGCTGCTTTTTAGTTTGTATAACTAAGTCTTCATGCATCTTACTTACTTTCATCTCATTAGAAGCCCTGTTTTTTTCTGCAGGTAAAAGGTTTGCCTCAGGATCTGCAGACAAAAGCATCATCATATGGACTTCAAAACTGGAGGGTATTTTAAGATATACGTAAGTGAGTTTTAGACTCTAAAATGTTCTTTATATTTGTAAGTAGTGACATTTTACATTTGTTTTAATGTATTTATATTGGGGTCATTGACTTAGAACCTATGAGCACCTTTTCATTTCAGTTTGTTTATACCCCAGCAATTAACATGTTTTTTTTTTTTTTTTTTCAAATAAGATTCCTTTTCATGTCTTTAATATACAGTCCATTTCAATCCAAATTAAGTTTAAATAAACCTGATGCATTTCCATACAGTTCAGACTTGCAGTCAGGTTCAGTTATCATTAAGTTACAGTTGATAAACAGGTATCTACCTACATTGTAAACATGACTTGCAGAAATGGAGAAGGTGAGTTTGTTTTCTAAATAATAGCTTATATCTGCTTTTTAAAATCTTGCGAAAATAAAATAATCTATTGATCAGTTGAAAAAGCCAGATTTCAACGGAGATAACGCTGAAGGAAGTTAAAGACAGACAACAAAAGTTAACGACTGTATAAAAAAATAAAAAGCCGGGCATTTATGAATGGAGATTTAGATTATGTTTAATTTCCATTTGAGATAATGTCAATATTTTCATATCAAATAAAACTGAGTTGAAATGTAGCCAAAAGGTTCAAGAATTATCTAACAAAGTGAAGAAAGGATGGTAACCTTTGACCTATCAGCTGGCCTCACATTTAGTCAGGTTAGAACTGCCACCTCCTCTGGTTTTATTGGCATATAAATAGACTAACACTGAAGTTTGAATAAAAACAAATACTCAATGAAATTCCAATCAGACTGAAAAGTCATGTGCTCATTTGTACTCAGCCTCCTTCACAGCAATGTTGTTAAATAAAATCTAGGAAAGCAATTGTACAGTGTACATAGGGTAAAACAAAACAAAAAACCTGACAACACTACAATTTAATTAATGCTGTCATCTGTTTGTCTGTCTATCTATCTAAAGGCTACTCTGCTAAATTGATCAGTCTGACTGCTTTCTTCAATAATATTCTAATAATAAGTTTGCAAAAGTTTTATTAAGATTTTTCCTTTTTTACAGAATTTGAAAGGGAAAGCTAAAAAATACACCAGGTTCCAGACAGAACATATTGACAAAGAATATTTATTTAATCTTAAATGGAAACTAGTTACTCTTTTCAGGTGTTTTTTTTTTTTTTTTGGCATGGCCAATAAAGTAATAAATAGGACTATGCTAATTATGGAGGAGCTGCAGAGATCCTCAGGTCAGACAGGGACGCTGTTATTAATGTAGTGTACAGATCTGTCCTATATAGAAAAGTTGTGAAGAAGACCATTGTTAAAAGAAAGACATAAGGACTGGTATGTACTGTTTGCTATGAACTATGAAGAGCAGAAAAGAAAACATTTAGAATAATGTGCCTGGATCAGAAGAAACTAGGACTGGGCAATTAATGGATTTTTATTGATTAATCACATTCTTTTTCTTATGAAAATAAACATTTTTGGGAAAAATTTTTTAGATTTTTTTAAATTCATCCACGTTTTTGGCTTCCATAACTCAGGTCTAGTGGGATTAGTTCATCACTTTTCATTCTTATAACTGATAAACTAGCTCCCTGAGTAATATCACCAGCTGCAAACATTTATTTTCCTTGTGTCTTCATTTGTTTTTCAAGCCTGTTTCACACCTTTCATTAACCTTTAAATTAGGTTCACCTCCCAGAGGGGATAATTGAAATAAAAGCGAGTTTTTATTATTTATATTTTTTCTAATGAAACTTAAGTGAGAAAAAAAATGATTAATTGGATTTGGTAGGGGAAATAAAATCTGAGATGAGATTTTTAAGCTATATCGCCCAACCCTAGATAACTTTATGGCATTCATGCAAAACATGGAAGAAAAACTCTCTTTGCTTACCTTCTTTTAAATTCCACCATTATACTGTTGATATTCTTCCTTCAGCAAAAATGAAAGATGGAGCTAAATAGAGGGCTATCCTGACAAAACCTTTGGGGATTTAGTTCAAAGATTGCTCATTTGTTAAAGCATCAAAATCAAAATGAGAGGTCCACAATTTTAAAAAATCTGGTTTATACTCCCTTGAGCCTTAAGGTGGCACTAAATGTGTGGCAATCATCCCTAGGGAACAGGTATATGTACATGGCCTTGGGAGGACCTTGGAATAACATTATCACTTATCACAATCCAGCCATGCTGTTGAGAAATGTTCACCAAAGCTTTATTTCAACTCTACGGAAAACTACCTAAACCCTGCTGAATATCCTGTTATAACCCATGTTCCAACTCATGTTTTAACCTGTTCTGTTTCTGCTTGCTCATTTAAAACAGAAAATTAGGTTATATTATTCATAGACAACTTAAAAGCCTGAGTTGGTGTTAATATGGAGGAAAGTTAGTCTCCATGAAAGGAATCATAGATCTGATTATACAGGAATACTTTTTATTTTTTATTTGACATGTTAACTTGGCTGTCTACTTTTATATTCTTGTACACTGTGCGTTCTTCTCATTCACTTTTCCTATTTTGTTGACCTTCTATGTAGCCACAATGATGCTATCCAGTGTGTCGCTTACAACCCAGTCACTCACCAGCTTGCTTCCTGCTCATCTGGTGACTTTGGTAAGTGTACTCTAAGTTAAAGTAAATAACTTTACTTTAACTTGAAATAAAACCTACTGATATGTGAAGGAGAATCATTAAGAGAGCGTGATCTGTTTATTTCTTTTTTTAGGCTTGTGGTCCCCAGAACAGAAATCTGTAAGCAAAACTAAAGTGAGTAGCAGAATAACGTGTTGTGGGTAAGTAGTCCATCTACCGTCCTGAAACACTTTTTACATTTTCCTGCATTTCAACTGTGCTTCAGCCAGAGTTTGCTTAAACTTTAGGTGGACCAACGATGGGCAGTACCTCGCCCTTGGCATGATGAATGGTGTGGTGAGCATACGGAACAAGAATGGAGAGGAGAAGGTTAAAATAGAACGTCCAGGAGGATCTTTATCCCCTATCTGGTCCATCGCCTGGAGTCCCTCCAAGTTAGTAATTCTTAGTTTTTACAAAATAACATCGGTAAGAAATGTTTATTCCTTTTATATTTCATCCATTCTTTGCTGACATGTGTTAGAGATACTGTGGATTAATTTGATTAAAGTTATATTTTGTTGCTGAGGCCAGCAGATGGCAGTAGTTGACACAAGAGTGATTGAACTGTGAGATATTATGATGTTCATTTGGATGTGTCTCAATTTTCTGCCACCCCCCTTTGCCAAACTCAGGAGGAATCCACTTACTGGGTTCTTAAGAGATTAATAAAGTGATGCAGAAATAAATAATGTATAAAGTTCGTTTAAAGTGTTCAGTGATGGATTGCACCAGAATTATTAACAATTCAAGAATTCATAAAGTATGTGAATTATAATAATTCACCTAAAAGTGAACATGAGATTTGATTTGGGGAAGGGATTTAGTTGTCTTAGAATTAAAGAGCACATTTTTGACATTATGTTACGGTAGATCTAATTATCATGCCATATTTAACTGTGTCCTGACATTATAATGCTATTAAGTTGAAACCCGAACAAAGCTCCCCATTGCTGACTGTCGCATACAATGGAAAATCTCGAATGAAAACTGGCCGCACTTGTTTTCAGTGTCATCATTACTTAACTAACCAAAGCCCCTATCAGCACAAAAGACTATCCTTAGCACTTATGGCTAAGCTGTTTTTGTTTCACAGGGATGAACACAATGACGTGCTGGCTGTGGCAGACTGGGGTCAAAAGCTCTCCTTTTACAAACTCAGTGGACAGCAGGTGAATATCAGCTATCTTCGTTGTTAAACCCTTTCCTTAATTACTAATAATTACCTGATAGTTCAGACCTGAATTTAAAAATGATATTTAAGCATTTCAGTAATTGGGTAAAAAAAAAAAAAAAAAAATCATGCCTTTTTTTTTCTGTCATTGATTTATTTTATATCCAGCAGCTTTTTATAGATTTTCATTTTCCTGATTATGCCCAGAGAGTTTGCCAGCCAATAAAGTACAGTGGTTCTATGGTTTTTATACCAGGTATTTGTAGGCACAGCACAGGTTTTACAGTTAAAATCTACAGTTTGCACCACCAACGTGGCTGATTTTTTTTTTTTCATAATCCCTTTAAATAGAACGCAACTCAATGTTCTACTGCATTTTGCACCATATTTATTTATTTCGCACTGCACTGAAACTTCCATATCAATGCCTTTTGCACCATGACTTTAAACTGGGTTTCCCTTTCTCCTACACCGTCTACATTCCTGATCACTGCTGCATTTTATAAATTGTAATGTTCATTTCACTGCTGTAAGCTGCTCATTCACTGTCTAAAAGCTGTATGTATCGAAATTTATTTTTGTATACACTGTGTGTACAACATGACAATAAAGTCTAAGTCCAAAATGACCCTAATAGTCAAATTAAATGCAACAGTTAATTTACTCTGAACAAAATGGTTTATTGTCCTCTAAGCAACAATCCAACCCAGGTGAGACACCTCTGACACATCTCTAGTTTAGGGCTGGATACAAAAACACAAGGAAAACAGCAAATTTTCACCCAAATGCTTAAAAAGCCTTTGCTTAGCTCTCCTTTTAAAGCTGTTTTTATTGTGTTGCTGGTGCACAGTTTATTCATATTTATTCCTTTCACTCATCTTTTCAGTTATCATTTTTTATTTATTTTTTTAACTTAATAGATCTCACATTGGAGAAATTTAGGTCTGCATTTAACCCATCCCCTTGGGAAGCGGTGGGCTGCCATTGTGCGGTGCCCAGGGAGCAGTGTGAGATTAAGCGTCTTGCTCAGGGACCCAGAGTGGCAGCCTGTGGGAGTGTGGCTTGAAACCCAGAACCTCACAATTCCAAGCTCTGTGCCCTAACCAATAGGCCGCCACTCCCCATGAAGTCATTATAAGCTTTGCTGCTGCACCGAGTAAAATACCTGCTTCTTTAGCAGTTATTTTTGTGTCTCATTTTCCATCTGTTATCACATATGTATAATATAGAATTTTTATATTTGAAAACAATTTTATGGGTTTTATGGAATGCTTTGCACACACAAGTCTTAATTTATTTTGTATTAGCTGTAAATACTAATAATCCAAATTACGGTAACATGAATGATTCCCTCTGTTTGTAATGTATTATGCCTAACTGGTTTCAATTTTAGTCAAACAACTGAACTTTTCTATGAAATCAAATTTGATAAAATGCTCCTCTACATGCTGCGTATTCAGAGGCAGATGATCTATATTTGTACTGGCCACATTTCCACAAAAATACAGGCAATCTTTAGCTGATCTGGAACAATATCTGACATGGTTCAACATTGTCAGAGATTACTACATAGAAAAACTTTAATACAGTTTAGAATCAGCTGTAATCGGACTGTTGTGGGTCTTTTGAAAGTGTATCTATACACTAGAGCTGACCCAGCAAGGGTTTACTGACCTACTTCCAATCACTGCTTCCTCCTCGATTCCTTGTAGCTAATTTGGTCAGTATGAACTTAATCTGCACTGTTTGTTTTCCTCCAATATAAGGTTTTATTATTGTTGTCTCCTTATTTATCGACTTAAATGAACATTCTGTTATGATTGCAACATAAGGGATTGCTCACAATGCAGAAAATAAGCTGTGATTGTCTTTTTTTGCTCACTGGGGAAAAAACCAAAACAGATGGATAGGATGGAGAGAGCTGATAGGATGCTGCACAAATTGACTTTGAACTCTAATACAATAGAGGCTTTTTAAACCAGAGACACTCTTCTTTTTTTTTTTTTTTGTCTTCCTTTTCATCAGATTCAAAGGGGTAGTTGAATGTACTGAGGACTTTGAAGTTTGTCAGCCCAGACAGTGGGAAGTGCTAGCTCGGACTCTGAGCAATAAATACAAGACATGCTCGTTTTATCCCTGTTTCTAAAGTGCTTCTCTCTCTCTGTCCTCCTTAGATTCGAAAAGACAAAACTCTAAACTATGACCCTTGTTGCATCAGCTACTTCTCCAAGGGCGAGTACATTGTGATGGGTGGCTCGGACAAACAGGTGTCCCTCTACACTAAAGATGGAGTGCGGTTAGGGACCATCGGAGAACATAAAGCATGGGTGTGGACATGCCGAGTTAAGCCCGACTCCAACTATGTGGTGGGTCCACAGCACATGATTCCTCTACGAGGCCTAACCTTCCCTGCCCTTGTGTGGTAATGCATGTCACAGTGAAAGAGATACTTTTTCTTTTTTCAATTGTGAAAGCACCATTTTGAACTACACAGATACACAATCTTTTTCGTTTTACAGTCCCTCTTTTACAGCTTTTCCTCTCACTATATTTAACTGAAAGTGATGAGGCACACAGGAGAGAATTGGTTCCTGGCAGATTCTCGCAGCTCTGTAGTATAGAGGCTTTAACAACAGGAACATTTTCCCACTCCCTCAGTCTTTTCTTAGAGGTGTTAATAGGATGTACCGCTACATTGTTGTTTCTTATCTAGGTGTGTGGCTGCCAGGATGGGACCATCTACTGCTACCAACTTAACTTCACCACAGTTCATGGCCTCTACAAAGACTGCTACGCCTATAGAGACAGCATGACCGATGTTATCGTGCAGGACCTCATCACTGAGCAAAAACGTAAAGTTCTGTTTGTTATTTGTGACTAAAGTGATGTTAGGAAACTGTATTAGATAATTATGTTGGATGTGATTTAGGGTGCGTGACCTCGATCATATGGAGACATAACTACAGACTCGCCGCACAATACATTATCTTTGGAGATTGTTGTTTTTTTGGGATCAACTGAATATTTTGAAAATAATTTGAATTTAATTGAAAATTATTTATTGCATAGCATTGTTTTCATGTCCAACTCGGTTCCTACACCAGCTGGAAAAGTTGGAACTTTATTCAGTCCAAATGTTTTTGGAAAAATCAAAAGAAATGTAGCTCTGTCTAGTTAAAAATTTAATATGGATATTTGTAAAATCAGTCTGGAAACTTGTGGGAATATATGTGCAGGATATAAACACTGTCTTAAAAAATGCTTTCTAATATATGTTTTGAAAACATTTTTTCCCACATTGTTATATTTCCCCAGTGAGAATCAAGTTCTGTGAACTGGTAAAGAAGATAGCCATCTATAAAAACCGCCTCGCCATTCAGCTGCCTGAGAAGATCAACATCTGTGAACTCAAGGAGGACAACTCCTCCACCCTGAACTACAGCATTAGCAAGAGAATCTGCAAGAAGTTTGAATGCAACCTGCTGGTGGTCTGCTCCCAGCACATCATTCTCTGTCAGGTCTGAAGTCTGTTTTCCAGAATCCATGAAAAACTGAATAAAAAAAAAAAAAAACAGAAAAAAATCAAATCTTTCATAAAGCTTTTTTTTTTTTTTACCCATCTGCTTTCAGTTTTGCTTCTTTTGTAATGAAAAGTTCCCTTCCTGGGCTTTTTTTTTGTGCTCAGACCCAATTCTTCTTACCCTAGTGGCTTTACAGACATTAGGACACCATTAAGATGATGAAATCAGACCGAATCAGTGTTAAACCATTTAAAGTCAAAGCTACACGACTCAGGATTGAATTGCTGCTTCCCCACATGTTTCTGCCGATCTTGCACAAGGGCCCCAGCCGTACGTGTGTTCCTAGATACATGTGCAGCACGTGTCTCTCTCTCCCTTCTGCAATCCTCTTCAAACTGGATAAAAAAAGACAGTTTGGATTGATTGGAAGGGTTGGGGTCTGTTAAAGCAGTGGGTGTTTTGTGGGGGGATCCCTCTGCTTTTCGTCTGTATGTTTGACAGCGTCTGGTAGGGCGGAGGGGCGGCACTGAGGTTATTTCCTTTCAAATTTGTCTAAAGCACAGAGGTGCTTTAGATCTCTCTATTCGACATGCTCATGTTTCATGGCCCAGACAGATCTTAGACCTTATATATGGGCTGTGCATGCTTCTGGTAGATTATATCATTGTTTATCTTTGTAAAATTGCTTCATGACATTGAAACACCCTTTTTGCGGCGTTTAAAAGAACAACATGCTGCAAGTTATTAGACTTACATGAGTTTGTTTTGCTACGATTAACAGCCCATGAAATGATGGACCTAAGACTGTAATTTTTCCATAATGAAACGGTTAGTCGGTACTGTATATGATTGTGGTTTCATGTTACTCGTTCCGCTCTGCACAGGAGAAGAGACTCCAGTGCCTGTCTTTTGCCGGTGTCAAGGAAAAAGAATGGGTGATGGAATCTATGATTCGTTACATCAAAGTGATCGGTGGTCCGCCAGGCAAGGAGGGTCTGCTGGTGGGCTTAAAGAACGGAGCTGTGAGTACTTAGAGACGACGTAATCCCTCACAGAAACTTGGAAACAGTAACAGTTCCATCATGTTATTTCTCTAGGAATTTGGAGAAATGCAAAATGAACTCTGTGCATAATTAATACAGCTTCTTATACAGTGCTTTCCAAAAGTATCCACACCCCTTAAAACTTTGATTTTACATTTGTTTTGTCTTGGTATGCTACAAAATCTAATGTATTTTATTGGGATTTTTACATTTTTTTATTTTATTTTGTGATAGAACAATACAGAAGAGGCCGTAATGATACAGAAAAGGGGGAAAAATGCTTGGTTTTTCATTTTTATGAATGGAATTTTAATGTTTTATGCATTTTTATTTAATGTATTTTACTAAATACTTTGTAGAAACACTTAAGTGCAGATTTAGCAACAATTTCTAGGTGATTGTCTGTGGCAGCTTTGCACATCTAGACACTCAGATTTTCTATCTATTCCTCTTTACCAAACCATGAACACCTGTTTTCAAGTTTGGCCACAGGTTCTCAGTTTAATATGGATCAGAAATTTTAATTTATTCAGGTTTTTTCTGACACATACAAGATATAATCAAGTTTACAATGTAACAATTACTTTGCTCAAAGGCCTTCTAGCTATCATTTTATATGGTACCCTTTACCTAGACTACTGTAACCCATCACTATTCATTGATAGCCTAGACTTTTTTACTTATAAAGTGGCTTGAGATGTAATTTATTGTTATTCTATAGTTAAAAAAGGAGCTGGGTTTAATTAATATCTCTAATCGTCTTTGAAAAACTTAACACTCAGAGCCTTCTTCCACATGTTTGTTGTGTCTCCTACATGGTTTGTAGGTTGAATGTTCATGAATGCAAAGAATTTGAAACTATCATTTTTAAAACTCCACCTTTTTTTTATTCCCTCCAGTTAATGTCAATTTGTTGTAAAAATGTCAAATGTTTTAAAAGCTCTAAGGTTTTGATTACTTTTGCAAGACACTATAAATCGTAAAACACACTCCATCTGCTCAGATCTTTCTTTCTGATTTTTTTGATGTAGATCCTGAAGATATTTGTCGACAATCCTTTCCCAATAACGCTGCTGAAGCTGTCAACATCAGTGCGCTGCCTCGATATGAGCGCGTCCCGCAATAAACTGGCTGTGGTGGATGAACATAACACTCTCTTCGTCTATGACAACAACAGCAAAGATTTGCTTTTTCAGGTTTGTAAAAAGAAGGAGTGAAAACATCCCAAGGATTGTACATTGGAAGATTTCTCATAATAAAAAAAAATAAAATAAAGGAAGATTTCTGAAAGGACTTCATGGGATCAGTTAGTCAGCGCGAAAAAGAAACATGGATGCTTGTTACAGATTTGCATAAACCGCAGGAAGAATTCAATTTAAAATGGTGTCTTCCTGGCTGTTCTTTGTTCCTCTGTCACCTCCACACCTTTGTTTCTGTATATCTTCTCATATTTTCTCTGTAGGAGCCTAATGCTAATAGCGTAGCCTGGAACACCCAGTGTGAGGACATGCTGTGTTTCTCTGGGAACGGCTACCTTAACATCAAGGCCAGCAACTTTCCAGTGCACCAGCAGAAAATGCAGGGCTTTATAGTGGGCTACAACGGCTCGAAAATATTCTGCCTCCACGTCTATTCCATGTCTGCTGTCGAGGTGCCTCAGGTATGTTATACATAGCCTAGATGTAGTGATGGCTTTACATGTGATAAAGGGTTTTATAGCACATCCTTGTTTTAGTGACCAGAATGTCTTGAAGATGTTTTTTTTTTTTACATATTTTTTTTCACATTGTAAAGTCCAGCATGTGACATTTTATCAAGGTTTTATGCGTTAGACCAATCCTACCTCCAACACAATTATCAAGTGAATGAAAATTATGTGAAGCTTTATGTAAATAAAAGAAAAAAAAAAAAAAGGAAAAGAGACAGATTCTCCAACATGAGTTATGCATCTTTGCAGCTTATTGGAGCTTCTTGGCCTCTTCTGTGATTAAGTTTCCCCTTTTCTTGACCGCTCTATTGAATAAACTTCTCTAGGTATTTTGGCCCTACTCTAACAAATGACTGGGGCTTTCACAGAGCAGATGGATAAATATTAAAATTAAATCACACAAACAGACATCATGTAGGTGACTTACGATTGCCAAATGTATAATTCTACTTCACCTCGTTACATTTTCTCTGCCCAGTCAGCACCCATGTACCAATACCTGGAGCAGAAGATGTTTAAGGAAGCTTATCAGATCGCCTGTCTGGGTGTGACAGACAGCGATTGGAGGGATTTGGCCACAGAAGCTCTCGAGGGACTTGACTTTGAAACAGCCAAGAAGGTGAGCCAGACACACAGATTGTCAGGTTAAGTCTTACTATCCCACCCTTAATTAGTAATTTTTACTTAAATTAGTGAAACTAGATCAACATGTATTCTGTAAACCCGTTCACTGTGGATTTCTTTTTATCTGTAAGATGTTAAAGCAAAGCTGTGGATTTTATCCAAGCAGCCAAGCAAACATTGAGCCCCTTTTTTAAAACTTCCCATATTTGATTTAGTTTGTATTTGTTAGAAAGACACATCCACCACAAAAAATCTCCAACTATTTGCACTGGTTACGCTCCATTACAAAATCTGAGAACATTCTTAAAACATATCACTGCAAGTGACTTATTGTTATCGCACTGTTGTTTATAATGAACAGTTCTGTTTAGAAAGAATGAAAGAAAAGAAAGAAAAAGGGTTCTTATGTTCTGCCAACCCTTAAGTTTGTATATTGTAATTCAGCTTTTCCCAAAGTTTGCTTTTGTTTGTTTTTTTTTTTTTGGTTCCATGCAGTCCAAATTGTTCAATTTGGTTGTAGAGCTGTTTTTGACTGAGTCTCAGGAGGAATTTAAAGTGGACCATTTAGAAAAATAGTCGGTAGCTTTAAAGGTTAATTATTATCTTAGCCAGGATTTTAATGAAGCTGAGGCTGGCTATGCAACCAAAATTAAATCAGATGGCAAGAAAATATTAGTTAATGCTGTGAATTTTTTTTTTCTTTTTCAGGCCTTCATTAGAATCCGAGATTTGCGCTACTTGGAACTGATCAGCAGCATTGAGGTAATGTCTATTTATCAGAAAGAAAACTATTCAAAGATCATCTTTTCCTGTCCTTTCATTAACTCATACAGCACCATGTAAAAGCATTAATACCCATTTAGCGTTCTCACATTCATTCATGTTAAGGCTGCAGGTTTCAATAGGTTTTATGGGGATTTTATTTTATAGACTAAGAAAGTATTGCATCATTGTAGATTGGAAAGCAGAAGGTGCCTGGTTTTTAAATTCTGAACAGAAATGAAATTTACTGTGATCTGGTCACAGCTGCAAGTCTTTGTGTCGACATCTAAACTAGAAACCCATGTTTGCAAAATAGCTCCAGCTCAGTCAGACTGGACACCGAGTGTCTGTTAACCTTACTTTTTCAGCCTTGTCAAACATTCTTTACTATCTTAATATCTGTGCTGATTAGGTGATTCTAAATGTGACCTAAATTATTTAGTAATTCCTCTGGCTGTTGAATAGAGTTCTTGTTCCCCTGTGAAATGAAGGTCCACTCCATTTTTTAGTAATTCAGGATTACTCCCTGTTTAAATTTATACGTAGTCCTATCAGTTGTGACCCGCTTTAATGTCCCTGCTAAAGAAAAAAAGCGTGACTACCATCACCACATTTCGCCCTGAAAATGGGAAAATTCATGGGTAATGTATGGTCTAACATTTCCAAATCACTTGGTGCTTTTATAGGCTTATAAATGACTTCTAACTAGAGCACCTTCCTCCAGGTGTTTGCTCTGACATGGCTTGTGACAAACTACAAACAGATCTTCTTTTAGCTTTCTCATTTAACTCTTAAATAACACCGGATTAGTGTGAACCTAATAGTTATTCTACAAACCCATAATTCCCCTTGAGCTGTGAATCTTTAAACTTTCTCAGAGCTACCATAGGCCTCTTGCCGCTCTCTTTGCCATGCCTTTCCATTGACGGGTGGTCATGTCTTGCTAGGTGTATACTTTTCCATTTTTAGATGAGGCACTGAACAATATTCGGTGATGATATTCAGAGCTTGTTTAAAACTTTCAACCACTTTATTCCTGCTTAGTTCCTGATTTCAAGAGTTGTTTTTGTTTACTTAGATTCTCTAACAGTGATCAACTGGATTTATGCTAAGGGTACATTACACTGATGTCAGTTCTTATTTACCAATTAGGTGACTGATTGATTGAGATTGATTGACCTGAATTTTAATACTTGAAGAGGGTTAACATATTCAAACATCAAACTCTATAGATTTTCCTACTTTTTCACAATTATGTACACCTTTTATATTGATTGAAAAATTCATAATTTTACAAAAACTCATTGAAGCTGTGGGTATACACTTAGAATGTGGAAAAAATGCATTTGATACACACTGTGTTGGTAGCGGTTGAAGTGTGGATGTTTGAACATGCACTTGACTGTGTGTCCACTCAGTGTTAATGTTGACTGATTTGTAGGAGAGGAAGAAGCGGGGCGAGAACGACAACGAGATGTTCCTGGCAGACGTCTATGCCTTCCAGGGGAAATTCCGCGAGGCTGCAAAGCTCTACAAACGCAGCGGCCACGAACCAGCCATGAAGAAAGCTGTGAACATGTACGCCGACCTGTGCATGTTCGAGCACGCCCAGGTAACGGAACTGCTTACTGACAAAAACATGTCCAATCACATGCAGCTCAGCTTTTACAAATACAAACAAAAACCCCTGTTTGGCTCCTGCAAGCTTTATGAGTCGAGAACACATGTTTGTTCTTTATTATGTGGAGAAATGCCAGGTTGGGGCCCTGTGCTGTGCTCAGACAACCCCTTTAGCCTTCTCTCTTTCCTCTCCTCATACATCACCAGGAATTATATCATATTTCATCTGAGTAGTAAACAGATGCCACAAAATTCCACAAAAACCATGGCACAACAAAAGAAAAGCTTACATAGTTAATATTAAAACTGCAGATTGAAAAAATATATATATCTATATCTATATATAGATATAGATATACTCTACATGACTTATTCATGTATATTTCTGCATGCATGTGTGTATCAGATTGTATCTGTGTGATGTGGCAGCTGTGTATTTTTCTTGTTGTGTGGCCATCTGGTCGCACAGCCTGTTTGTTTTAAGTAGGAAGGACACCAGAGGGAAAGGCCGAGTTTCTGCCTGATGTTTGTCCGACTGTCTTCCTGCTTCCTCAGACCTCTACAGTTCCAAATGTTTAGTCTTTCTTGCTCTCTGTAAAGATTAAAATTAAGATAGTGAAAGTGACATTATTTTTCAAAGGAAAAAGGATCCCGTCTGGATTTAGAATCTGTACTGTTAGAGCGTAGAAATTTTTATTTACAGGATTTTGCTGAAGCTTTTATACGTAAGAGGGCCTAGTGGTTAAGGCATAGAGCTTGGAATCCTGAATTTCTGAGTTCGAAACCCACTCGAACAGACTGCCACTCTCGGTCTGTGAGTAAAACCCTTAACCCCACACTGCTCCCCAGACGCCCCACGAGGGCAGCCCACTGATCACCAAGGGGATGGGTTAAATGCCAATGTAACATGCTCCCATGTGTGATCAATTAAGTTCAATACCTCTGAAATAATATTACTTTTTTCATGTTTCTAAAGTAAATTTTTATGTATTTTGCAACTTTTTAAAAAGTAATAGACCAATACAAATATATCCCGGTGGTTGTCACCTTTATTCCACTCTGTATTCTCACGAGTGTAATCTTTGTTAAAAAATAAAAAAAGGAAAACAAATTTAAAAGAAACCGTTTTGAAAAGTTTGGTATTCATTCTTTTCCTGCTCTGTGTGTCAACTGTCATTGTTGCTAAGGGACAGAGCGTACTGCGGTTAAAGCAACTGAAGGCTAGACATGTTTGAATGCACAGCCAAAACTCTTCCAGTCTCCTTATTTACATGGACTTCGAAGGACCCAGGCCAGATAGATGCGTCCTTGGAAGATGCAGTCTGTAAGTTCGACTTCAGCCTTGGTTTTGGGAAAGGTTCACACTTTTCATGTGTTAAAAGGTCTTCATTAGCTGTTTTATGAAGTAGATTTAGTGTGGTCAATCTTATGGTTTCAACCGTGTTGACCCTGTTTTGTTGCGGAAACAATCAAATTATATAATCTTTAAAGGTTCTCATGTTAAAATGTACAACTCTCATCAACTATCAAAATCTTGTTAGCTAAAATGCTAATTCAAGCTAGAGTAATTTTTATTGTAAAATGTCCACTGTGTTAACTATGTTAACCTTATTTGGTTAACATGGTGAACACCTACTTAACAGAGTGGACATAAGTATACACCGGACATACGTATATGATTGGTGTATACGACATATATACAGCAGTCGGTGTGACCGGGGCCTGTCATGGCACACATGGACCATCTCTATACCCTTGATTGGGTGCTTAAGGGTTCGTGGGAGTTTACCCAACCAGTTCACATGTGATTTTTGGATCTGGAGAAGGCTTTCGACCGCGTCCCCCATGGTGCCCTGTGGGGGGAGCTCCGAGAGTATGGGGTCCGGGCCCCACTATTCCGGGCTGAACGCTCTCTGTATGACCGCAGCAGGAGCTTCGTTCACATTGCCGGCAGTAAGTCCCAGTCCTCTTCACGGTGCATGTTGGCCTTCGCCAGGGCTGCCCTTTGTCCCTGGCTCTGTTCAGTACCTTTATGAACAGAATTTTTAGGTACAGCCAGGTACTGGAGGGTGTCTGGTTTGGGAACCTCAGGATATAATTTCTGCTGTTTGCAGATGATGTTGTCCTGTCCTGTTATATCTCAAAAAAATCTTAAAATTTTGGATTTCTTTTTTTTTTTTTGGCAGTTCATGACACCCTAAAGGCACCACATTTAAAGAAGGACCCTTATATAGTTGTGTTTTGCTCTTTCTTTTGCATATTTCTTAGCAAAATGACTTCTTCTAAGTCATCGAAAGTAGAGTGTCCTTGAAAAGCAATTTCAAAGTCTACAGATTTCAATTGGATTTTGGCCTTAACTTTGACAAGGCTGTTCTCACATCGCAATAAAGTATTTATGTTAGTTTACGTTAAAAGATAAACCTATGCCTCAATCTTTAACATTTTGCAATCTATAACAACTATCAACCTTCATTTAGTTCTATCCTTCCAATCAATGTTCACCAGTGTTCCTGTCCCTGCTGATGAAAAGTATCCCTACAACATGATGCTGCCACGGGTACATCTGTGTGCATGGGTTCACAGTGTTCCTTATGTAGACCACCATGCATTTTAGTGTCATTTGTCCAAAGTACCACCCTCCATGTTTGCTGTTTCCTGTAGATGCAAGCTGTCCTGTGCAGGTTGAGCTGGAGTCTTTTGAGGGGTTTAGAGGGAATATGAATGCAGGCCACAACTCTCTGATCTTTTTTCTTATTATTCATTCTTTTTCGGATGAAGTGAATGCCAGGCATCATATACATTAAATATTGGTACACACACAACAGTATGCATACATATAAATACATGTACATGTTCCTGCCTAATCGAAATAAGGATTTCTTTATTTAAAAAGAGACAATTTTTATTTTCTATCGAGTTGATATTTTGGGTTGATCTAGAATATAAAGGGTCTGTGATACTGTATTTCTAATGATGTTTGTAAAAATAACTACAAAATGTTTACAATGTTCAACAGGTTATTTGTTTTCATCTATAAAGTCACTCATTAAAACCAAAAAAAGGATATATAGATTCGTTTGCATGATCTGATCATTTCTAACCATACATTTTCTTTGGTTTTTCCTCTGGTACAGGACACAATTAATCTCCTAATAACCAGTTTGGTGTTTTAATTGCTTATGTTTTTTTCTGAAATCATGTATCATAAGTGGTTTTTCAGCTTTATCATGTTGCCTAAGCCTTTTGATTTCTGTTTGCAGGAGTGTGCGGGTGTTACAGACCCAAAGGTCTCCCTCAAGCTAATAACAAAGCAGGCAGATTGGGCTAAAAGCAGCGAGGAGCCCCGGACAGCAGCTGAGATGTATCTGTCAGCAGGAGAACACATGAAAGCTATAGATATTATCGGAGAACACGGCTGGGCTGACATGTAAGTGTCTTTCACTACGGGGGATATTCTCATTCCCTGAACAATATTGTTTTCTAATCAATACATATAAACATATCTGTATATTTATTTCTGGAAAAAGAGTTACTATTGTCTAATTTAAATTATTTTTAAGAGACGAACAGGAGGTTATGGTGTGCAGTCAGTGACACTGTAAAGTGTCTGTAAAGTGACACTCATGTAACAGGGTAGACCTCTAGATTTCTGTTTAGTTGCTTTGGGAGCCCCAATCCTTTCATCTGTGTTACTACAGGTGGATCAGAGGGACTCGGAACAGTCAGAGCCCTTTAACTGGAATCAGATAAAAGTTCAGACTCTGAATGATGAAATTATTTTCAGGGTCTTGAGAACGTCCTCCAGACAAACTACTGATGGTTTAACCTCACCCACCCTACCTGTGTACCTGCCTCCCTCTTGTTATGCAGGCTAATTGGCGTTGCACGTAAGCTGGACAAGGCTGAGCGTGAACTACTGGCAAAGTGTGCGGTGTACTTCAAGAAGCTGGGACACCATGGCTATGCCTCAGAGACTTATTCCAAGATGGGAGACTTAAAGGCTTTTTTGCAACTACACGTGGAGACGAGTCACTGGGAAGAGGTCTGAGACAACTATTTAGCTTTTAATATTAAATCTGATTGACATAATGTATGTAAACAAAAATGTCCTGACACAGTCAAATAAATACAGAGATGTTGGAAATTTACTACATTTAATATTGTTATGAACTAGGAAAAGAATAGAGGAAAGAAAATACATTGAAAAGGATTGTTTATTTACATCTTTTCTTTTAACTATTCAGGCTTTATTTACTTTCACATTAACTTCTTTTTATAATAGGTCACTCAACAAATGTGCTTCCCTGCTTTTGATTTAGATAAATGATGCATGTTACAATAATAACAGTTACTGACTAAAATAACATTGTTCTTTGTTCCCTAACCCCAGTCCCCAAGGCATGTACGTCTGTCCATCCATCTGTAAATTTGTATTAGATTTAACTTATTCTTTACTATGCTAATGGGACAAAACTGACCCGAGGTCAGATGCAGAAGTGTGTCTGAAAAGTATGGAATATTTGACTGGAAAAATGTTTATAAACGCCCAGAAATACAGTAACATGAAACCGTTGTTAATAAAGTCCTTCGTGAGCCACAGCGTAAACTGTATTTTATGGCTTTTTTGGTTTGGCAGGAAACCCCAACAAATAGCTGTGTGAGATTGACACAGTAACCACAGCTGAATGCAAACAACAAGACAACATGTCTGCCCGATTTCCTCAGTTACTGACAAATAAAACCACAGCACCCCCCTGATCGTTAAGGTTCTGATTGCTCTGAGTCCATGCCCAGAATGTGACGAGTTCAAGAAAAAAGTAAAAAAAAAAAAAAGATATATTGCATAGAAAGAGCATCAGCCTATAACTGTATTCTGTTCTCAATCATGTTTCCCCGCCACCACAGATCATGCCGCTTGTATGGAAGGGAAATAATGTGTTTTTTTTAATCCGTCTGCGGTCTGTAATCAAATTAGAGGCACTGCAGAGATTCTAATGGCTGATTAGCATTTGGAATCACTAGAGCCAAAAACAGAGCATCAAATCTTAAAGATTTGGTTCTGGAGTATCTTCTTAATCCCCAGAGAGAGAATAGAGGAAAAAATAGAGGAGGGTGGCAGAGGTGTAGAGGATACTCTGGCTTAATGTGCCTCTCTGAGGGAGGTATGCACCAAGTTAATTCCAGCATATGGACGCCATTTTTCAGTAGTACCAGTTTTAAAAGACTTTTTTGAGAGTTTTCAATCATAAAGTGTTTCTGACTCAGATTATGCCACAGGACACTGAGTTTAATTAGTCACTTTGTACGGCAAATGTTTGTCCACAGGGTCCCACAGCAGCTCTTCATGTCCTGACAATCAAACAGCGATGCACTTGTAGTCCCGACTGAGCCTGAAATCAGCTTTCCTCGTACACTTGCCTTCGTTTTCAGTTAATTGATAATGTTGTTGAAATGTTTTGACTTGAGGTTAGGTGTGTTTTATGGAAAATGCGTGGTAACTTGTATCTCCCTAATGAGCTGCAGCTGGGCCTTTACCTGCCCAGGGGCCATTTAACATTGTTTAGGATCTTCTACCTACTAGCTGCTCTATTAACTGATTTTCTTCTTTTGTCCTCTTGCCTTTCAATGTTCCAGGCCATCTCCCTGGTGAAGGAGCACCCACAGTTCAATTATGACGTCTATTTCCCTCTCGCCCTTTGGTTTGCAGAAAACAGTCACTTTGATGAGGCGCAAGAAGGTCAGAGTCACTTTCACTCGCTCAAATTTGTTTCTGTTATACAGCACATATAATACACGCCTACAGGAATATGTTTCAGTCAACATAGAGTCTACTTTAAGTTGGTTTACATATGGAAGTGATAAAGCCCGTCTGGCTTTAAACACATTCTTTTTTTTTCACTACTTCCTTAAAATTTTCCATATCCCTGTAAAAACATGATCCTCTTTGCCGGAGCAGAGCAGGACACAGCTCGGCTGCTGTTCAGTGAGTGACACGCTTGCTTGGCTCTAATCACCAGTGCTACAAGCAGCTCTGATGATGATTACCAACTCTAACCATAGTCATAATCAGCTCATAGATTTATAATTATAATCTCAGCAGGCATATTTCCTCTCCCACATAATCTTCTTCTGCTCGTCTCAATGTGGGATTTATGGCTGATTGTGTTTGGGCTTGCTTATAGTCAGGCGTTTAGGTAATTGTGTGCGTTTTAGGTTGCCACTAAAGCAGTATTGTGTTACAGTGATTGTAATGTCTCAGATTCTGGCTTGTTTTACGCTCAGTACTCTGCTATTTCTCATTGTCAATCTCAGAAAGGGTTATCATGGCTTAGATCTGCTAAACTGCTTTGTTTTGGGTTTTTTCTGGGACTTTTCATGTAGAATGATTGATCTCTAAAATGTAATAAAATGGGTGGTTTTAACTTCACAGTAATAGTGCTACAAAATTATCAACTACTTATATTTCTATTCATTATGTACCTTTTCCTATCAATTAATAAGTTAATGTGCCCAAGAGGCCTAGTCATGATTACATTTTCTTATTTTTTTGTGACTTTTTCATCAGTCTGATTTAGTTGGAATCAACACTCTTGTACTTATTAAATGTCATAATTTCAATGAGAGAACATTTTTTTTAGCTGATAAGAAAAGGTTAATATGGGGTCCAAAATACCTCACATAAGATACTCAATCAAAGTAATTTTTAAAGAAGCTTTTTAGGGTCCTTTAAAAAGGTAAACAGACTAATGAAAGACTGAAAAAACATTTACTTTAGAACTGACGCCCCCAGAAGTTTACTTTGAAGGATTTTATAGAGATGCTTTGATGAATTTGTTGACAAGTAAATACGCATGCAGAATTACTTTATGTTGGTAAATGAAGATGACAGAACTTTAAATAAACATATAGATTACTAGGGATATAAATAAAACTAAACTAAACCAGACCCCAGTGAGTGAAAAGGGTCAATTTACTGGAGAAATAATTTACATAAATTATTTATTTCCATCTTGATAACATGTTTGTTTTATAAGTTATATCTAGCTGCTGTTAGAGAGTTAAAAAAACAAGGATTTTGTTTCTTAACGGTGCCATTTGAAGATCTTCATTTGCTCCCTAATAAATGTTTTGCTGCATCAAACAACGAGCATCAACAAATATTTATATCCTTAAAAAGCCTGAAAACAGGTTACATTGGTCATTCCATGATATGTAGGGCTGCATATCTCATTTAGACAGTAAACGATGAATGTAGTGATTGATGTTTTGACCGGAAAGATACTCTTGAGATATTAAGATATTATCATATAATAAAATTACAATTATTGGACATTTTTAATGTACTGTAAATGGCTAAAACAGCTCATATAAACTCAACTGAATGCTCAGAAAGGACACTTGAGGAGTTCTGGCTCCACCATCTTTAAGGACGAAGAAGCTTCTTTAATTTTTTTGCATATTTATATGATTTATTGCATTCAAACTCATTTGTTCCCATATTGATATTGTATATAGTGATATTGTGATAATTGAAACATTGTTGACGTTATATGCAGCCCAGCTGAGTCATTCCTTCAGTTTTAGCTTTGTGCTTTTAACCCGTGAAGGCAATACCTGTAGGGCATACCAGGTTCCACTGACAACAATTTTTATGAGTGTGGATGCCATTACCAAGAAAACAAAAGCTTCAAAAAGATTTATTAGAAAGTCATTAAAAAAGAAAACAGTTTTTAATCCTTCAGAGCATTTAACATCCATCTGTTTTAAAACCTGTTGTTTTAAAAAAAACGCTGTCAGAGTTAGGGTGACAAGAGCAAAAGCCTGTTAGAAAAATAGTTTTGTTTATACATTTCTGTAATTGTATTTTTAGATAAATAAAGTGACTTCAACAAGACTGGCATTAGCAACTCTACAAAAACCAGAGATCAGAAAGTTCTTAGCATAATTCTGCCTCTTTAGATCCTCATAAACTGGATGCTAATCTGTAGTCATGAGTTTCTGTCCATATTTATTTTACTGTGTTACCTGCTGCTTCTGCTCTGTCCCTACAGCAAATGTATTCTTTACCTGTCTAGATTAATGAATTATTCAGTATTGTTATGATCATGCGTGCATATCGGTTTATTTTAGTGTGCACTGACTTTATTTTAATATAACATCCAAAAAATAAATCCAAATCCAAAATATAACATCTGTTTGTCTCCACAAGCAAGCTCGCTATAGAAAAGCACTGAGCACAGTCTGCAGACTTGTCAGTTTGCATTTAGTGATTGTGTAAGGCGGGGGGGAAGGGATGGGGCTGCTTGTCGCTAACAGTAACCAAAAGCAGCTGAAAGTGATTTCTGTCCAGTTAGGACTTCTAATATATTTTTGACCCCCTGCAGCGTCCTATGGGGGCAGGGTCAGATTTGGGGGTCGACTACCAAGAGCTGCTTCTAATTACACAGTAAAAGGAACATCAAGGATAATCTCTTGTTTATGTGGACGTTAAAGCGGAAGTGCTTTAGAAATATATACATTTATTACTAATGCCTTGTATGGCATACAGTTTATTGTAACAATCAAACTACAGTTAGATTTATTTAATTTGGATTTTTATGCAAAAGATGCTCCCAGTGTCTT